CATGGCCGATCATGGTTCAAGATCCGGCCCTGGCAGCTTACTTTCTCATTTTTTCTCTCTCTCTTTCTGTCCCTCTCTGGTCAAATTAAAAATAAGTAAATAAATAAATAAATAAATAAAATTATTATTATTATTATTATTTTTTTTTAAAATAATTCTTTAAGAATTATTTATTCAATTTTATTTATTCATTCATTCTAAATTTGACCAGAGAGAGACAGAGACAGAGAGAGAGAAGAAGAAAGTGGGACAGCAAGCCTCCAGATCCAGGACTCAAACCGTGGCCGGCCATGTGGGAGTGTCCAGCACCTTAACCACCACGCCACCTGCTGGTCCCAATAAAATAATTCCTTAAAAAATAAAAAAGGAACAATGAGACCCTATCATTTGATTCAAAGTGGATGAATATGTAAGACTTAATGTTAAGCAAAGTGAGCCAAACTTTGGAAGATTCATGCTGTAAATCCCTGCTCAATACATACCAAATATCTGTACTCTATGGCAGAAATAAAAAGATCTGAAGATATGATAGTAGAGAGGATAAGTGTAGATACCAGACTATACGGGAGGGGAATGTAGAGAGTGCGTGTGAGGTGCAAAAGAAATACTTACGAGACAAAAAAAAAGTAACATTCTCTATTGAAAAAATATATATATTTTATATACATCATAAATGGTGACTTTACATAAAATGTGAAATTAATCTGAAAACAGTTGTGAAGTAATTATGTTAAGGTGACAGCATTAAAAAAATAAAATAAAAAATGTCAAGTGTAGAACCAGCAGATGGTGTGGTGAAGGCCCTAAACTCCTACATGACTGACTGCGGTTCAAGTCCCATACCTGGAGGTTGGCTTTCTCTCTCTCTGTTTCTCTCTGGTCAAATTGAGGAAGAATAATATAATCAATAAAATTAAATGAATAATTCTTTAAAAAAAAAAAGTCACGTTGGGAGGACCTGTTTGTTTACATAATTTTTTTATGGAATAATTCTTTTATTTAACTTTATTATTATTATCATTATTATTTTCCAGTTTGATCAGAGAGACACAGAGAGAGGAAGTGAGAAAGCAAGCCACCAGGTCTGAGACTTGAACCGTGGTCGGTCATGTGGGAGTCTAGTGCCCTTTACCACCATGCCACCTGCTGGCATGTTTACATAAATTTTTTAAAAAATCAATGAAATTAACAATGAGATGAAAAATGTCTTTGAGAAAATCAATATAATTGTTACACCTCTGGCCAGACTACAGAGAGAGAGAGATTGAGAGAGACATTACCAATATCAGGGAAAAAAATTAGTAACATCATCATTGACAACATAGACATTTAAAGGACAATAAGGGAATGGGACCAGTAGGTGTCATGGTTGTTGGGGGCACCAGACGCCAAAATGGCTGACAGTTCAAGTCCTAGACTTGGTGGTTTGCTTTCTCACTCTCTCTCTCTGTCTGTCTCACTAAGGTCAAATTAAAATTAATAATGATAAATAAAATAAAGGAAATACTTATTATTTTTAAAAAGGACAATAAGTAAATACTATGAATAAAAATTTGACAATTTAGATAAAAGGGGTTTTTTTTAGAGAGATTTTTGCAAAAGGGAGCATGCTCTTGCCAGAGAGACAGACACAGAAAGCAAGAAATCACCCCCTTGGGGGGATGGCCACACCACAATCCCTTCTCCTCCATTCTCCCTTCAGGACACTGGACATGCAACCCCCCCCACACACACACACACATACATACACACACACACGCATGCGTGTGCACATGCCCAGCTTAATTTTTAAGCCACTGGGTCCGGGACTCAAACTGCAGTCGACTATATAAGAGTCCAACAACATAACCATTATGCCATCTGGTGGTCCCATCTTTCTTTTTTTTTTTTAAGAGAGATTTTTGCTGTAGGGCACATGAGCTTTCTGCAGAGACAGAGAGACAGGAAGCAAGAAATCACCCCCCTCCCTCCAGGGAGGATGGCCACAATGCAATCCCTTCTCCATTTTCCTCTCAGGATTTTGGACATGCACAGGCCCACACACACCCAGCATGAGTTTCAAGCTTCCAGGTCAGGGACTTGAGCTACAGTTGGCCATGTAGAGTCCAGAGACATAACCATTACGCTATCTGCTGGGCCCTTATTTTTTTTTTTAATTTTTTAATTATTTTGAGAGATTTTTGTTTTAGGGAGTGTGCGCTCACCAGAGAAAGAAACAAAAAGTGAGAAATCATCCCCTAAGGGGATGGCCATACCGCAATCCCTTCTCCTCCATTCTCCTCTCACAATTTTAGGTATGCGTACACATGTACCCAGTGTGAGTTTCAACCTGCAGGGTCTAGGACTCGGCCTACAGTTGGCCACGTGGGAGTATAGTGCCTTAACCAGTATGCCACCTGCTGACCCTCCAATAAAACGACCTATTTCTTAAAAAAAAAAAACACAAAACATCAAAACTTACCCAAGAGACAGCTAATCTGAATAGTCCTACACCTATTAGAGAAATTGAACTCATAGATTAAAGCCTTTTGAAAAAGAACTCTCTGGGTCCTGATGGTTTCACAGATAAATTATAAATATTTAAAGTAGTAACAGTTCTACACAACCTCTTCCCAGAAAATGAAATAGGAAACACAACCTGATACCAAAACCAAAGACAGTACAAGAAAACTACAGACTAATATCATTCATGAATAGACACAAACCTTCATAAAATACATGCAAATCAATCCCAGCAACATATAAGAATAATAATAAACCAAGACCAAGTGGGACTTATTTTAGGAATTCAAAGCTGGTTCCGTATTGCAAAATCAACCATAAGCGAAATTCACGTGATCATATCACTTAATACAGAAATAGCATCTGACAAAACAGAACACTCATCTTTATAAAAACTTTCAGAAAACTTGGACTGAAAGGGTTCTTAGTCTGATAAAGGCATCTACAAAAAAAGCACCTGTAACAGCATACTGGCAAGACACCGACTCCTTTCCGCCTAAGATCAGAAACAAAGCATCCCCAGGGGGGATGGTCATGCCTCAATCCCTTCTCCTCTCGGGATCTTGGGCATGCATGCACACGCACCCAGCATGAGTTTTTTAAGCCACCGGGTCCGGACACGAACTGCGGTCAACTACGTGGGAGTCCAGCGACATAGCCATTACGCTAACTGCTGGTTCCCGGTCAAAACAATTTTTAAAGAACAAAGTTAGGGACCAGCAGTTGGCGTAATGGCTATGTTGCTGGACTCCCACAGAGTCGACCACAGTTCAAGTCCCTTACCTGGTGGCTTAAATTCACGCCAGGCGTGTGTGCATGCGTGCTCAAGATCCCGAGAGGAGAATAGAGAAGGGATTGCAGCGTGGCCATCTCCCCTGGGAGGTGATTTCTCGCTTTCTGTCTCTCTCTGTCTCAGTCGAGCTTGCACATCCTATACAAAAACCTCTCCAAAAAAACTGAAGAATAAAGTTGGAAGACTCACTACCTGATAAAAGCATTACCCTAAAATCTAAGTTAATCAAATGGAAACTTGGGGCCAGACATGTGACCCCCCCCCCGCCCTCCCCGAAACAGGAAAAAAAAACTGGTAACAGAAAAACTATTCAACTGTACTTCACCAAAATTATAAATATTCATGGAGACAAAATGGTGGCACAACAGTAATGCAACACTACAAGACTGGCCACATAGGAAGGCTCCAGGTTTATGTCCAGAGACCTCCCTGAGCATGCCAGGCATGTGTGTGCTCATGATCTGGGAATGGCTGGAGTTGGAGGGTGGATGGTGGTGTGAAGATTCAACTGAGGTGCTTGCTCTCTCTCTCTCTGTGGCAAGTGCATGTATCCTCTGACCAAAAAAAAAAAAAAATCCTTAAACATAATATAATACAACCCAAGAACCCTGATATCTTGCTATTGACCTGAGAAAAATTTAAGTTTACACAAACCTGCCCATACATGTGTACAGATCTGTGCACATTCATGGAGAACTGGAAACAACCCATTCTTCAGCAGCTGGCTGGACCAACTTTGGGACACATGGCATAAAATATGTGCAGCAACCAGGGGGAGCAAATGGTTAGCACACACACAGCCTGCATGAATCTCAAAGGTCTTCTGCTGAGGAGAAAAGTTAGTCAAAGTCAGGTGTTGCTGACAGGAATGTTTCTGAGGAATAAGGTGTCGGGCAACACTATCATGGTGCAAACATTAGAGTTTAAGGCCAGGCCTTCATGGCATGGCACAACTAGCCCATGTGGTGTAGCCTACCATAACTTTACAGGACCATCCAATGTGCCATCTGTCATTACACAGCACAGAACTGCATGGAGTTGGCTCCACTTGTGTGACGTTTTTGATAAAACAAAACTCTTTTAAGGGACCAAGACCCAAGAACCAGGAGGAGGATGGCGGGGAGGGGGCTGTGGTGGCACGTGATGCAGTTATGGGTGGCAGAGGTGAACCAGCCTATCTATGTGTTAAAACTCACACAACTGGGGGACCAGCAGTTAGCGTAGTGGCTATGTCACTGGAATCCCATGTAGTCGACCGCGGTTCAAGTCCCGGACCCAGTGGCTTAAACTCACGCCGGGTGTGTGTGTGTGTATGACCAAGATCCCGAGAGGATACTGGAGGAGAAGGGATCACGGCATGGCCATCCCCCCCGGGGGGTGATTTCTTGCTTTCTGTTTCTCTGTCTCTTGTCTTTCTGGTGAGCACACGTGCCCTATAGCAAAAACCTCTTCAAAAAAATAAATAAAAGATTAAAAAAAAAAACTCACACAACTGGGGCTAGCAGGTGGCATGTGGTTAAAGACACTAGACTCCCACATGGCCAACTGTGGTTCAAATCTCGGACCTGGCAGCTTGCTCTCACACTTTCCCAATCTCTCTCTCTCTCTCTGTCCCTCTCTGGTCAAAATAAAAAATAAGTAAATAAATAAAGTTAAATAAAATAATTCTTTAAAAAAAAACTCACACAACTGTACCCACGATGAGTGTTTTAGAGATATTTTTAATATGGTGCATGGTCTAGGGACTCTCCACTGATAGGGTGAATGTGGTTCCAAGTGAATGGTTTGGTGAAAGGTGGGAACAAAGGCCCTGAGGTGAGAGAAGGCTTGGAAATTTGAGACCCACAGGAGATGGGTGTGTGAGGCCCACCTCGATGTTTCTACTTTGGTGCAGGTGGGTCATTTGGGGGCCAGGCCATGGAGCAGAAAACCAGTAAGCCAACCTGCATGGGGGCATAGGCTTGGGAGGCAGCAACACTGGGCAATGCTGGGTGGAGCAATGAGGGGAGGGTGGCTGTGCCTCAGACCTGCTGGCCAGGCCTGTAGGCATAAGCAAGAACCTAGAGGGGCTGCACGCTGTCTTCCTTCCAACTCCCTGACTGGGGGGCCATCTTCCTCTCTGGATGCCTCTGGTGTACCTCCAGAAGACTCCTCCAGGTAGGGACAGATGCTTCTATGGGAATACTTCTGAGGGTACCTTGCAAGACTCACAGGAACTGCCCTTGGACTGGCTCTTAGGACAGCACTTGCTTCTTATGCCCACAGGCTCCCGAGCACATCAGCTCAGATCCCCTATGGGGCAGGGATCAGGGTACAGGGAGGCTCTGAACTGACCACCTCACCAAGCCCCACAGTACCCTGTGAGAATGGGGTGCCTCACTGCGGGGCATTCTCAGCCAAGGATCCAGGGAGGAGGTGGGGTGGCATGCAGGTCAGGCATTCCTCTGCTCTGGAGGAAGGTACTTGAGCCCCAGGTGCCTGAAGATGTCCTCCTCTGAAGTTGCATGGAAAACTCTCTTCTGCAACAAAGCAGAGCTCAGTGGTCAGGTGGCAGGAAGTCTGAAAGGGGGACAGGGCCTGTGCAGGTGGGGTGTGACCCTCATAGCTAGGGTCTATGGATGTCAAGGCCCAGATATGGCCTGCAGGTTCTAAGGACAATTAAACTTTGGTTGTGTCCTACTTCCCACTGGGTGCCCCATACCTGCTCTGGGTCAAACAGCCCTTGGCTGGTCAGCCGCAGACCCCTCTCCTGATGGCTGAAGCGGCGCAGCTCCCTCTCAAACAGCTGTGGGAAGGGCACCTGAGCAGACTGGTCAATCCTGGCCCCACCGTACCAGGCGGCCCCACCATACCAGGCAGCACCACCCCACCTGGGAGCCAGTCCAGCCAAGCAGAGCAAAGGGGAACTGGCTGATGGGGACAACCACTAAGTCCACCCTCACGGCCTTCCAGGCCCCCGGGGGCTGTGGCAGACGGAAGATGCAGAAACTCCTCTCGAAGGCATCCATGGTGTGACCCTGGCGAACTATGTGGCTGGGCTCCCCACCACGCTGGTACTGCTGGTACATAAGCAGGCCCTGCGGGAGACCGGGCAGTCATGGTACCACGGGCTGGGCAGGGCAAGGTGGGCACCAGGGAGTGGGTGCTCACCTGGTCCTGCAGGCGGAGCAGCAGCTGGGGCAGCAGGCCCACCTCCTGGCCTTCCTCAGGGTGACTGATGAGTAAGTCCACGTCGTGGCCCTGCAACTTTCCCCTGAGGGACTGCTTCATCCCCTAGACATGATCCCTTGGCTCCAGCCCCACCCCCACATCCCTAACCCAGAGCAAGCAAGGAAGGGCACATGGGGCCCCTTACCTCCGGAAGCCACCAGTCAGCGTAACAGTGGCCCCAGGCAGGGTCTGTCTCACAGCCACCTCCACCACCTGCTGCAGGGCCTCTGCATCAGGCCGTTGAACTGGGGTGCTCAGGTCCTGGTGGTACTGGAGTCCTAGGACAGCATGGGGTCCTAGTCAGCCATCCTACTCATGACATAGAACCCAGCCCCAGCAGACAACGCAGCTACCCTGGGGCCTGGCTACATGGCAGGGAGAGGCCTCTAAGGGCGAGGCTAGGGTAAGGAGCAATTGCTATCACAACTGAAGCATGTTCATTTAGAGGTTGCTGCAGGTTCCCATGCAGTTGAAAGAAACAACTCAGGGCCATCCTAAGTGCTCCCTCCTTGGCACTCTGGGGCAGAGGCAATATCTTGCAAAACTACAGCATAACCCAGTGCAAGGACATTGATGTCAAGTCTAGACACAGACTGGCCCTTCTGATGCTTCAGTTTTCCCCATCCATAAAATAGGACCAAAAGGTAGTAAAAGGATCTAAGGGGGCCACCAGAAGGACCCCACTTCAGTCATTTCTGCCCAAGAAGGATCACTGCCTTTCATGGCTAAGGAGAGGCTTCAACGTGAGAGATGGCAGCCCTGGCCCAGTGAACGCTACTGGCCAATCCATATACCTTGTCAAAGAGGGGAGGACCTGGAACCTGCTCCTCTGTGAGCCGGTCCAGGCAGCAGCCTAGAGAAAGTGTGCCAAGAGACGCTGAGCTAGCAGAACCTGCCGGCTGTAGGGCTCCTCCCTGGATAGGATGGCTAAGTAACTAGGCAGGCCACTGGAAAGAATAGGCCTCTTTAGGAGGCCTACCACTTGTCAGCTCCCACAGAGCTCATGGAATTCCGTGCTGCCCCACTCCCATTTATAGAAAATGCAACTGAGGGGACCAGCAGATGGCATTAATGGTTACGTTGCTGGGCTTCCACATAGTCAACCATGGTTCAAGTCCCAGACCCAACAGCTTAAAACTCATGCCAGGCATGTGTGCATGCATACCCAAAATCCTGAGAGACGAGAAGGGATTGCAGCATGGCCATCCCCCTTGGTGGGATGCCCTACAATAAAAACCTCTCTTTAAAAAAAAAAAAAAAGGGAACAGCAGTTAGCGTAATGGCTACGTCGGTGGACTCCCATGTAGTCGATCGCGGTTCAAGTCCCAGACCCGGTGGCTTAAACTCAAGCCGGGCACGTGTGCGTGCGTGCCCAAGATCCCGCGAGGAGACTGGAGGAGAAAGGATTGCGTCGTGGCCATCCCCCCTGGGGAGTGATTTCTCGCTTTCTGTCTCTCTGTCTCTCTCTGTCTTTCTGGCAAGCGCATGCGCCCTATAGCAAAAACTTCTCCAAAAAAAAAGAAGAAGAAAGAAAAGAAAAGAAAATGCAACTATGCAACTGAGACTCAGGAGAGCTTTCGCCTCTGTCTTGGTCACCCTCCTGGGAAATGATAGAAGGGCTCCAACCTAAGTCAAGCAGACTCTGGGTTCAGAGTTGGAGCCACCTCCCCACTGTAGGCCCCAGTCACTGGGTGGAGTCACAGGTCCTTGCACAGCTGGCAGCTGTGCCTAGGTCCAAGTCACCCAGGTCCCAGGTCAAAGTCTAGCTGGGGATGACTACACACCCTTAAATGCTGCAGCAGGGCTGTGCATGTCACAGTTCCCAAGAACCTGCTAAGCAAGGATGCCCTCATGCAGGCACCACCAGGGCCTGGGCACACCTGTGTGCCAATGAGCAGGCTCCAGGCAGCTCACCTGCCCTTTGCTGCCGAGTCAATCTCTGGGACTGCTTTCGGAGGTCATCCAGGGTTCGCAATCCCTCCTGGTACCACCGGTTAGCAGTCTTCACCCCAACTCCAAAGACTTGGGTGAAAAGCTGTGCAGAGGAAGGAAAGCACACTGAGGTGAGAGCAGAACTCTTAGTAAGATGTGGATGCAAGTGAGGCAGAGAGACAAGGGCTGGTGCATGTCCTGCAGAGTCATGACACCTGGCAGGTACCATGCATTCCCACTTGCATGTTGCCTGCCCTAGGCCTCCTGGTGAGGACTTAAACCAGGGAAATAGCCTGCCTAGCCCCTCCCACAGGAAAGTGACCCCTCATACTGCAGCAGCCCCAGAAGAAAGCATGTTGGGGCTAGACTTGGTCACTGCCTTACTGTCCCCTCTTCTCTACAAAAGGGCCCCTAGAACCTGCAGAGCTCTAGCCTATGGCTCCAGAGTAATCAGGTCCTCTGACTAGTCAGCATGGTGGGCTCGCCATTTGCTGGAGCCATGTGGCCCCCCAGCCAGCATCAGCTGAGCTCAGTGCTGTGTCTCTCCTCCTCAGCAAATGGTGCAATGATTATGGCTGATGTGAGGCCAGTGTTGGCCACAGTCAGAGGGGCTAACTAGGCTGCTCTCACACGAGCCTCCCACACAGGGTTGGCTGGGAATTGGCCTGAGCAGGCGCACAAAGCTGTCTGTAATGGGTGGCATGGCCCACTGTCAGGACCTGCTCCGTGTGCAGCAAGAGGGGCACAGCATGAGTGCAGGGGCAGAGGGCGGCGAGAGCACCCAGTGACATGCATGTGGCCAAGCCTGCTCCCGGCAAGCCAACACGACCCTGCCCTTCCTGGGTTCTGCTGACCTGTCCTTGCCTTGATTATCTTAACTAAGAATATGAGCTGGTCACTGTCACTGCAGCCACCAGCATCTTAACAGAAGTGATGTTAAGATGAACTCAACTGCATTATGAAAACAAGCTTCTAAATACTAATGTGATTTTCTGCTGGCCTGGATCCTTTTGGGACCTCATATATCTAAGAGAGGGCAGGGTAAGGGGAAGTGGGAGGAAGGGCAGTGGAAGGCAGCTCTCAGCAACCCTCCCACCTTACCCAGACACTCTTGCTGGGGCTGGGCTGTTTCATCCCAATCCCATGTCTGCACACTGGCGTGTTGCCCACATCTGCACATCAGCATGTTGTCCAGCCTAGATCACTCACCATGGTGGCCCAGTTCCTCTGGCTTTACACCCACCCCATCCACTTTGCTTGGTTAACAAAGGGCTTGTGTCCTTCTTCAAAGCCCTCCCGTCCTGACCACTCCTGCCTGTGACCTTCTCCCCACAGAGTACCATAGCCACATCCTCCTAGGAAGCCACCCAAATGGCTGCTGCTCCTACCATCTCCAGAACATGCCAGTGGCAGGTATCAGAGAAGACATGGCCAAGGCACCTACAGAGCTGTGATGAGCAGGAGAAGAGGGCAGGTGTGTCATAAGACAGGCCCCAGGCAGCACCAAGAAATGAACACGTCAGTTCTTGAAGTCAGCCCCTGGCAACAGCCACTGTAGGGAAGTGACCCTCAATGGTTCAGGGCGCTCTGCTAAGAGGTCACTGCACAAATGTGCTTGAGGACAGGGCAGCAGTGTAAGGGCAATAAAACAGGTGGTGCTGAGTGATCAAGGAGATTCTTTGTAATCAGAATGAGCATCTTCCCTGACTGTTGGCATATCAGGTGTCAGCTTAGCTGTTGCTGCCTCAGCCAGACCCGCTTTGACTCCTGGGCTGGGGCAGCTGCCCAGAGCCTCTGCAAACAGCCTGAACTATGCAGTCATTCCCACAGAAAACTGAGGGGCACCACGGGCTGGAGTCCCTGGCCCAACACGCACCTTCATAGTCTGGTACCTGTCGGAACTCTGGATTCTTTCTACCTCCTCACAGACACCATGCTCCAGCAGCTCCTGAGGAGACAAAGCAAGACTCCAGGCAGGGCCAGGGCAATCCCTCCAACACTCCACAGACAGGGGCTTGTGGGGTCAGGATCTGGGCCCACCTTTGCAACAACTAAGGTACTAGGTCAGATGAATGATTAGATGAATAAGAGTCCCAGAGTACAGAAACATTTACTTCATCAAAACATGTGTGAATTCCACACGCTTCATTGAACAGCACTTCTGCCACTCTAGACTCTGGCAATGAAAGTGCACAGAAGGACAACTTGGCATGGTGGGTCCTTAGACACCTTGTGCTTTAAAAGGAGAGGCTCACTCAGGCTGCTCTCTTCCCATCCTGGGCAGTTTGGGGTTGATGACAGTGACGGCACCAGCCTCCCGCCCTGCCAGGCTCTTCAGCTCCCTAGAGTCCTCTCAGCTTCCCTGGGGCAGGTGGAAGGTTCATAAGGAATCTTAATGCAGAGGGTGGCTTGCTCCAACCTCAGGGCACCATGTGTATCCACTTCTGTTTGTCTCTCCACCTGGGTTCAGGGCCACTGAGCCCCTGCAGTCTCACCATGCCCCGAGGCCTCCTCTGCCACCCATTACCCTGCTCCTACCTGGACAACCCTGAAGGAGTGTCCTCCCAAGTACGGCAGACCCTGAAGCTGGCTCAGAGCAGTGACAGGGCCAGGGAGGGCCCTGAGCACGGAGGCCGCTCTGCGGAAGGAGAGGAGGCGGCCCTCGCTGCCTTCAAAGCCTGCTGCCTCCGCCAGTGTCTCCAAGGCCTCCTGCAAGGAGGGGACCTTGGTAAGGGGTTAGGTGGGCAGGGCCACTCAACTCAACCCTCAAGCAGCATCCAGCTGTACCCATATCCCGATCCCTGGGACAGAAGCAGCTCACCGAAAGATGGGTGTTGTGATGCAAGAGGGGTGTGGGCCGTTGACAGGCATAGACTGGCATCTGACTTGGGCCTGGAGGACTATCCCTGGATGCTGTCACCTGGGGTGGGCAGCATGCAGGTCACCATAAGGCCGTAGGGCTGTCAGAGGAAAGGCAGCACCCAGAACCTGGCCTCTCCTGGGTGCCAGCTCAGTCCCCAAGGCTCATAGGACAGAAGCCATCAACTCTGAGGGGCAAGGTCATCATCTAGGGGGACCCTAGGGACAGGCTGAGGGTGGGCTCTCAGGCCAAAGCAGTGGCAAGGACTCCTGCAGCCTGCATGGGGCACCATCCCTGATATTGCACAGGGTAGCTGTGCTCCATCTTCCCAAAGCCTCACAACCAACTGGGTGTGGACACCGCAGCCTCTAGGCAAGTCCTATAGCACACAGGCAGAGGCAGGATTTGAGTGATGGCAGTTTGGCCTGGAGCCCACCTGGTAGAGCAGTGGCAGGAACACACAGACTCTTGAGGACCACTGTGCTAGCCCTCTGCTCTCTCCTGACCAGGAAGCAAGGTCTAAAGCCAGAAGCGGACACTGAGTATATACCAGTACGAACAGCCCCTTAGGTGGCCTGGCCCCATTTCCCACCCTTCCACTGGCTTCCCAGGGCCCTGGAGGTCTAGGCAGAGCCCTCCCAGCTGCCTCTTATGGAGGGCACCTATCCGCACTGCCACATCACTATGTCCCTGGCCCCAGGCCTCATCCCCAATCCAGCTCACTTCCAGGCGGTGCCGGCGCTCCACCGAAACTGGTTGGCCAGCTGCCATGCTCTCCGTGAACCAGCTTATATCTAGCAGGACTGGTGGGGCAGGACCAGAGGCCGTCCTGGCCTCCTGCCAGCGCTGGGCCTCCTCCGCTGAGGTCTGCTCCATTACCACGTGCGTCACCTCGGGGCTGTGGGAACAGCATGAAGCTCAAGGTCCCCTTCATGCTCCCAGGGCACCTTTCCGGGAAATCTCACCAGCTAGTGGGCATGCCCGTTGCCTGCAGGCCTGGCGGCCGGCCCTGCATTAGCTCCGCTGCGGCTTGGTTCAGTTGCCAGCATCTCCCTTTCCACCTGGGAGAGAGGACCTGGGACTGGGCCAGGTTCTACCTCTGCAGAGGCGGAGGCAGACCCTTGCGGACACCCAACGCCCCAGGCGTCTGCGTGAGTCCTCCTAGCGCTAGGAAAGTCAACCCTGCCCGGCCCAGGCCAGCCGAGCTGGGGGCACTCGGATGGCCAGCCCCAGCTCGCCGCCCAGCAGCGCACCTGCAGGTGTCCAGGACACGGAAGCCTTTGGAACGCGCCAGGCGTGAGAGGAAAGCCCGGCGGCTGCGGCCCATGCGCGGCTCAGCCAGGTAGATAGCGACGTCGGGGAAGCGCACCGAGGGCAGCGCGGAAGCAGCGAACGCACCGACTGGGGACCCAACCCGTTCGCGCCTCCGTTTTGGAAGCATCGCGGCCACTGCCGCCGGGCGGAAGACAGGAGGAAAATGGGCGGAAGTCGAGCGGAAGAGGAAATACGGCCGCCTCACACCAGGCTCTGCCGTATGCAAATAAGGTCTCTCGGTGGCCTCGCCTCAGGGCCTGCGTGAGCGCTGGGAAGGCGGGGCTCCTGTGGAAGTGGGTGTGTTTTCCGTCCTGAGGTCCCGCCTATATGCAAATATTCGCAAAGGGCACGCCTTGTATACAAATTACCTTCGAGCACTGCGGGGCACTTTCAATCTGGGACGTTGGAGGGACTCGGGGTTGGTCCTGGGTTGGGGGTAGTAAAGAGAGGGACAGGTCGTGGAAGGGGCCAGTCCTGGGCCTGGTGTCTGGGGGAGTCAGTGATGGGGTCCAGTACTTGTTCGGGGGTGGCCATGGGCTTCATGCTCGACCCAGGCATCATCATCGGTCCTGAGCCCGGGGCTGGAGAACACTCTGGCGCCCCCTCTGCTGGGAGTGGGGCAGAAATGCGAGTTTCGAGCGGAGCTTCAAACACTAGAGATTTTTAAGCGAATGGCGTTGGGACAGCTGGCCGAAGTTTTGGAAAAACAGAAGTTGGCGCCCTCCCTTCCTCCTTAACTCCAAAATAAATTCCAGATGGATCAGACATTCCTGTCTAAGAAACCAAAAACATACTGGAAAAAAGTCGATGAATGTTCTTATGATCTAAATATCACAATAAATTTGGAAACACTAAAGGAAAAGAATGATAAATTGGATTTCATACAAATTAAAATGTGCCTAAAAATTAAAATCAAAAGACGAACTGGAAAAAGTGTAACATATGTTGAAATTAAGACCAATTCACATAATTATGAAATTGTCTGTAGCTTTCCGGTGGCATGGTGGTTAAGGCATCTGGATCCCACATGGCTCACAACTCACTTTGGGTCCCAGACCGGACAAAAAAAAAAGTCCAGCTTGTGTGCATGAGTACCCCAAATCCTGAAAGTAGAAATGGAGGCGAAGGGATTGTGGCATGGCCAACCACCACCCCCTGAAGCATGCTTCCTCCTGGAGGGTCTCAGATGTCTAAGTGGGAAAAACAACATACTGTGATCCTATTTAATTGGACCCTTAAAAATGGTCTGCAAAGGGCCTTGAAATGAAGTGTTCTCTGTCTTTTTGTTGATTGTCCATGGGAGCACTCCCCCCCCAATAGGGTTGCGATCTGTTGCCATCTCCTTTCCCTGGCCATTCAGCTCTATCATGCGCTAGCGTGACCTGCACTTGATCATGTGGTCTCCAGGCTTGCAGACCTCTGCATTACTGTTGTGCCATCCTGGGCCCATGTCTTCCGTCTGGCTAGACTGGGGGTGACAGGATCATGTGTGTCCAACTCACAGAACTCTGCACTAACAATGGTGAATTTCAGTGTGGCCACTAGACTTCCATAGCCTGACTCTAAACCTGGTGTTCACTGCCACCTTCTCTGGCATGAAAAGGTGCCCGGAAGATACTCCGCAGTCCTGTTATCTCATGTAGCAGAGAGCTGTGTGTATAACCTAAAGCCTTTTTTTTGGGGGGGGGATGGTAAATGTTTTTGCCTTAGGGCACATGCACTGGTGGGAAAGACAGAGACAGTGAGAGGGAAAGTGAAAAATAACCCTCAGGGGGATGGCCATACTGCAATCCCTTCTCCTCCATTCACCTCCTGGGTTCTTGAGCACATATGCACGTGTGTCTGGCATGAGTTTGAAGCCACCAGGTCTGAGACTTGAGCTGCAGTTGACCATGTGGGAATCCAGCAATGTAACCTCTATGCCACCTGCTGGCCCTCACCTGAACCCATTTTTGCAAAACGCACTTATTGTGTGAGATATGTGGAAAATACGGTGGCAAGATGACTAAGAAAATATTTTCAATGGTTGACGGGATCATCAATGATTTTAACATTTTATTTTGTTCAGCTGGCCCTGTGGTCTAGTGGTTAAGGGAATCAGATCCCACACAACAGACAGTGGTTTGAAAAACACTCTGGGCACATGTGTGCATACCCAAAATCCCAACAGGATGGAGAAATGGAGAAGGGATTGTGGTGTGACCATGCCGCACTAGAGGGTGCTTTCTCTCCCTGTCTCTCTCTCTCTCTAGCAAGGAAAAAAAAAAGTAAAATTTTATTTGGTTCGTACTTTCTAAAATTTCCTCAAAGGGTGTGGATGTCTTGGAAGAAAGGCAGGGCCAGAGGAAGTACAAACAAATTTCCACCCTCATTTGTGGACAAGGCCCCCCAGACTCTGCCTGTGATCTTTGGTCTCCTCTGGAGGCATTCCAGATGCTAGCTCTGCCTGCTACATGGTCCCCAGGAATTCAGCCCCAGGAGGTTTTGTGAAAGCCAGGAGAGTTAACCTCAGCCCAGGTCAGGTTGGGAAGGCAGGCCTGGGCAGCAAGGCTGCACCTCATTACCCCTCTACCCCCAAATCCTCACCTTCACCCCCACCCCCCACCAGCTGCTGCTGGCCTCCTGGGGAGGAGCAGTAAACCCTCTGTTCTGGGCAGACCACTTTAGGACCTGTAGCTCAGGGGCCCAAAAGGGCAAGGATCCAGTCTCCTGTGCCCTCTCAGGACTCAGATATCGCCTGGCAGCCTCCCAGGCTCCTTCCTGCCTGGCTGCATCTGTAAGTCTAGGAACCGTGACTCTTCCTGCCCACCTTGCATTTGTGTTTCTGACTATCTGTGCTTAGATGTAAGGTCTTTATTGTTCTGAGGTGAATCTCATCTAGCTAGTTTCTGGTCCCCCTGCCAACTCACAGAGGTCCCTGGGGTGATTCTTTAGGGCTTTTAGTCTTGCCCAAGCTTCCTCGTGGAGCAAGCACCTCCTTGAGGTGCCTTTGGTTGTTCTTCACATCTGTATTCCCTGTCACAAACCTGTGGGGTGCAGCTCTCCTGCCTCAGTCATCTCCCTCCTCTGGCCACTTGCCAGCAGCCATCAGGAGCAATGGCCAAATCGCCAATATCTTTAAATCTGGTCTCACAATCATCCTCCTGCCTAGCTGTGGATCAGAGCAACCTGAAGCATTTGTGTCTGTGCTGCAGGAACAGATATGAACACTTGTAGCCCGGGGGCCCAAATTCATGTGTCAGCATAGGGCTCAGGAGAACCTGGGTCCTGGGTTATAGGACCTGGGACCTGGGTCCCTTGGTTATGGTCCCATTGTCTATCCCAGCCATCACTGTCCACCTTCCCTTGGATGCCCTCAGAATCCACCTTCCTCTCTTATAAAGACACTAGCCATTGGGTTTAGCTTTACCCTGATTCAGGATGATTTTTTTTTTTTGGAGAGGTTTTCGCCATAGGACATGTGCTCTCTCCAAAAGACAGAGAGAGACAGAGAGAGAGAAAGCAAGAAATCACACCCTGGGAGAATGGCCACACTGCAATCCCTTCTCCTCCATTCTCCTCTTGGGATCTTGGGCACGCACACACACACACCCGGAATGAGTTTAAGCCACCGGGTCTGGGACTCAAATTGCAGTCGACTACATGGCAGTCCAGAGACAGCCATTACGTCAAATGCTGGTCCCCATCTTTTTGTTTTGTTTTGTTTGTTTTTTGTTTGTTTTTGAGAGGTTTTTGCTATAGGAGCATGCGCTCACCAGAAAGACATAGAGAGACAGAGAGACAGAAAGTGAGAAATCATCCCCCCAAGGGGGGATGGCCATGCTGCAATCCCTACTCCTCCATTCTCCTCTGGGATCTTGGGCACACATGCACAGTCACCTGGTGTGAATTTTAAGCCACCGGGTCCAGGACTCGAACTGCGGTTGACTACATGGGAGTCCAGCGACATAGCCATACACCAATTGCTGGTCTGATCTTTTTTTTTTTTTTTAAGAGAGATTTTTGCTATAGGGCACATGTGCTCATCATAGAGACAGAGAGATAGAAAGAAATAGATAGAAAGCAAGAAATCACCATCCAGTGGGGATGACCACACCTCAATCCCTTCTCTTCCATTCTCTTCTCAGGATTCTGGGCATGCATGCACATGTGCCTGGCAAGAGTTTGAAGTCACTGGGTCCAGGACTTGAACTGCAGTTGACTAAGTTGGAGTCTTGCAATGTAATCATTATGCTGCCTGCTGGTCCCTTGGAATGATTTTTACCTGAACTCATCTGTACAGATATTTATTCCAAATAAGGTCACATTCTTTGGTTCAGTGTGGACATGAATTTGGAGAGTCACCACTCAACCCACTACTCAGGTCTAAGTTTGCTTGGGCTTAACTCTGGATTCCATGACCAGTGGCCAGTCTTCCCTTTCTCATGTAGACCCATAAGAGTTAGAGGACCAGGCACGGATAGCAGATGTGCTGGCGTGTGCCAGGCTTGGCTGGTACAGAACAAAAACATGCTCAGTGTTTGAGAAGCTATTACTGCCTTTTGAGGAGGTACATTGTTTTGCAAGCTGGGGAACTCTGTATGGCCTAGACCCAGAGTAGGAAGTCTGGGTTTCAGGGGCAGAAGAGTGCCTTGACTTCCCCCCACCATAGGAATCTGACCACAGAACTGTGGAGGTGTGACATGGCCTTAAAATGAAAGCTTTGTGGGTAAAACCTGCCACTGTGCTGACCAGGCTCTGCCAGACAAGGTGTCCACGAAGGCTGGCCACTTATTGGATGAAAATATGTGCTCCAAGTTTAATAAAATGGGCATAAGTGCTATGGCTAAGAAAGACAATGCAAGTAAATTCAGTTATTTCTATTAAAGTTTTGAAATGGCCTCTCTCTAGTGGGCACACATGTTCTGTCACAGGTTGAGAAGCAATAATGATAATAATAAATAAATAAAATTTAATTAAATCATTACTTTAAGACTGTGTATATAAAAATCATATGGAGGCCTTCAGAAGATTCCTCAATGACTCCTGAGAACTATTGATTTCAGGGAAAAAAGAGATGAAGATTTCCTACTGATAATTCAACTTCCAGCCCACAAACTTGAGTGGCAGGAGAGGCAAGAGCCAGGCCTTCAGAAGATTCCTCATGGCTCCTGAGAACTAGTGATTTCAGGGGAAAAGGAGATGAAGATTTCTTACTGATAATTCAGCTTCCAGCCCACAAACTTGAGTGGTAGGTAGGTAGTCTTCTCTATTTCTGTTTCTGTATCTCTGTCTCTGTCTCTCTCTGCTTCTGTCTTCTCTTTATTATTTTTTTTTGTAATTTTTCCTTTTTAAAATTTTTTAAGGTAGGGACCTCATGGCTTCCTGAGAAGTAGTGATTTCCATGCCACGTGGTTTTGTATTTTGTGCTTTTTAA